GAGGAGGATTATGCTTCTTTGCGTAAGAGGAAAGTCTTTGGTCTAATTGTAGACACTCTTACATCTCGACTTGTAGGATATAAAATGGTATTAATGTGCAAGCGAGATGCTTAAGGCCAAATAATCCACTATAAAGCTCATCTTGTTGCTCAAGGAATTACTCAATGATTTGACATTGATTATGAATCTACATATTCTCCAGTCATGGATTCAATTACATTTTGATATATTATTCGAATGACAATTCATGCTACCCTTGAGATGCATGTGATGGATGTAGTAACTGCATATCTATATGGTTCTCTTGATGCAAATGTTTATATGAAAGTTCTATCTGGCTTAAAAACAGGAACTTCAAATCAATCCGCTCTAGGAAAATATCGTGGTATTAAATTATGTAAGGCCTTGTATGGTTTAAAACAATCCACACGCATGTGGTATCAACATCTTCAAGATTATTTAATTACAAGTAATTTTATAAGTGATCCATTAATTCCTTGTTTGTTTATCAAACGAGATAAAACTGGTTTTGTAATCATCGTTGTATATGTTGATGATCTTTACCTAGTAGGTACTACATCTACATGTGTTACAGCTACGAACCTACTTATATGTGAATTTGAGATAAAAATGCTAGAAAAAATAACTTTCTGCATTGGTCTTCAGATTATGCATCTAATAGATGGTAGCATTTTTCTCTATCAACTAATGTATATTAGACAAATCTTGCAAAGATTTAATATGATTGATGCTTATCCATTGTCCACACCAATGGTTGGACGTGGTCGTGATGGTCATGATCCATACCGTCCATGCAAGGAGGAGGAGGAAATATTGGGAGACCAATATCCATACCTTGCAGCGGTTGGAGCACTTTTGTATTTAGCTACATCTACAAGACCAGATATTACATTTGTAGTTAGTGTTCTTGCAAGACATAGTGCACGTCCAACACTATGACATTGGAATGGCATCAAATATTTATTATATTATTTAAAAGGTACTGAAGACTTGGGATTATACTACACACAATCAGCAAATCCAAAATTGGTTGGATATTGTGATGCAGGATATAAATCTGATATTGCAACAACTAAATCTCAAATAGGATATGTATTCTTAAGACATGAAGCTGCAATATCATGGAAATTAGTGAAACAAATAATAACTGCAACTTCATCCAATCATGCAGAAATTATTGCCTTACTTGAAGTATCTCGAGAATGTATTTAGTTGCGATCAATTGATAAATTCATTCAAACAACTTGTGGATTTTCATATGATGATTCTCCAACTATCTTGCATAAAGATAATAGTGCTTGTATTACACAAATGCAAGTTGGTTTCATTAAAGGTGACAAGACAAAGCATATTGATCCAAAGTATTTTAGTTATACCCATGACTTGATTACTGATCAAGCACTTATAATTATGAAAATTGAATCTACAAATAACCTTGCTGATGTCTTCACCAAAGCTCTCCCATTAAGCAACCATCGTCGACTTATTTATGGCATTGGTATGCGGCAACTTGCTCTTTTTGAATAAGAAAGTTAATGAGCTCTTTAAATAATTAAAGAAAATGATGTTGTATTCTTTTTCCTTCATCTATGGTTTTATCGTTAAATAAAATAAGATTTTTCTAGATAAGGTTTTAATGAGGCAACAATTGTTGATCTTGCAAGATCACAAAAAAGTATAGATCATAATTCTATACAAATTTTATATTATGTAAATATTATGATGAGCGAGGAGGAGTGTTGAGATCATTAAATGTAGCTAGCGCTCTCCATAATATTTACTATAGACTACAGTAAATACCATAGCTACAATATTTAGAGTCTAGTGGAGAAGTACTATTTATCCTCTCCTCTTTTCTCTTCTTGTATACGAGTTACAATCAAATGAACAGATTTTTATGTGTGAAGCTCTCTCTCCTTAGAAACCCTCTTGTGTGTATGACTTACTACTACTCTTGTATGTCTGTATGACTTATTACTACTCTTGTGTGTGTGTATGACTTATTACTACTCTTGTGTGTGTATATGACTTACTACTACTCTTGTGTCTTTCTAAACATTCTCAATACTTATAATTGTGAGAGCAGAGGCCTTTGGGTGAGGTGGATCCCTTGTTGCATGGTGATCCTACCGTCAACGTGCATCGAAACTCAAATTATTTTTATTTTTATTTTTTTGAGAGACGAGTTGGGTGAGGCTTCGTTCTATGTGTATTGTCACAAGATTTCTTTGGAGCCATTGCCTCCATCTCGAAACCCTAAAAGTGGTCACTTCCAAAACCGAAATATATGGACCCAAAAGTGCAGAAGAAGAATGTGAACTTTTGTTTCTACTTGTTTCAACACACGGTCTCCAATTGCTTTTTCTGCATTCACGTTGGTTTGAACATTTTATTTAACAAATAATAAAAAAACATACTTACAACAAAAAGATTCTTCAATTGGTTATGTATTATAAATACCACTGTAATAGATATGTATGTGTATATATAAGATAATGTTAAATAGATCCAAGTTTTTACTAAATCAAACCACCCATCCTAATCATCATGAAAAAAAAAAAAAAAAAAAAAAACTCTAGATTCATTTCTCCCCTATTGGATTTGCAACTAATAGAAACCAACCACATTCATCATGATTACCATATTCTTCATCAAATGTGAATATATTTAATATTCCCATATATTTATATTTATATATTTTGAGCTCTTGACAAGTTAGTGTTCAGTGTTGGAATCAAACAAGTTTGCATTTTTAGACATTGAGTTTTGAAGAGTGATAGTGGTTCTTGAACGTAGAGCCTTTGTGTTGATTTAGTATTCCATTTATAGTTGGTTGGTAGTTTTTCATATTCAATATTTTAGTGTAAAAAATGAGTTATGATTGGATTTTATTTTATTTTATTATAGAAAACATATATTATTCATTTATTTTCAATCTACAATTATATGCAATTGCAAAATACTTTAAAGATATAACATATATAAAATAAAATCATGAACTTGAATTTTGTAAGAAAAAAACCATATATTGTATAATTTGTAATGTCTATAGATGTTTAGATGTCTATCAATAATTTATAAAAAGATGCATAATATCCTTTTTTCTCTTGTAATTGTTATATTTCTTGTTTTTTTAGATTATTATTCTTACATGTTTCTTTGTTGGATTATTATATCAAAGCTATATACATATATTTTGGGAAAAAAAAATCTTATTATTTTCTCATTTCATATATGAAATATCTACAAACAATTTATATTTTATTTTATTTTTAAATTAAAGATTCCTAATAAAATTTATTATTATTCTTATTGTGTATGTATTTAAATGATATATATATATATATATATTGAGTATCTTACATATTTAAAGATATTAGTATTTGTCTATTTGTCTCTATGCATCTATTTAAATTACTGTTACATCGCTTAATGTTTCTATCTATTTATGAGTTTATCTAAAATTATTAGTCAACTTGTACTTTATTTCAGTTTAAGTAAATAGAAAATAATAAAAAAGACTCAACATCTTGGGTTGGTATAAAAAATTATACCCCATGGGATTCAACTATATTGTGTGTTTTCCACTTTACAACAAACACACAACATTCTTTTAATTTAGTTATATTATCTGTGATGCTATTTTAAGGAATATTTTTTTATAAAAACAAAATTTAACCTCCTTTATAGGTATGTAGAACTCTATTTCTTTAACATTTTATTCCTAAAGATATATATATTGTTGAAAACATCATACCATGAATTTAAACATTAATTTTATTTTTAGCCTAAACTAAATTTAACTTGGCTATAAGATGAGAATCAAATGTTTTATTATTATATAAAATATTATGATCACCAAAACAACAATGTGCTATTTTGATTATTTTGTTATACTATTTTGAATATGTAGCAATAATTATTAAGAAAAGTCACAACCAATGTTTTATCACTAATAATTGAAATGTTTTATCACTAATAATTGAAATAATACAATTTTGAGTAATGTGTGAAACAAACTTGATTTTTGTGTTCACTTTTTTGATTCATGGATTATTATTCTAAAAAACACATTACCAAATATGCAAAAATATAAAATTTATCTCAGCAAGTTAAAAAAATATTCATTAATAAGTAAAAAGATACGATGGATTCTCCAATATAAATAAAAAAAGTATGAGGCATCGAATATCTCACACATTGTATTCCTTTTCGTACATAATACTTATACATCCATTCCGATGACGCCCGGGCACATTCATTCATCTCTCGAAAGGGGTATCATCCAAATTCAAACTCAAACTCATTTTCTCACACCTTGGAAGGGTCGAAGGCAGTGCTCAAAACGCCTCTGCGATGACGCCGCCGCCGCCGCCGCCGACGACTGGTTTGTGCTGGTTATTGTTTGACCAGTTAGACATCGACGACGTCGCTGCAGCAATGAGAGACCTTCCAGCCAGAGCTTCACATGCATTGAGGGGCTCATTTCACAGTCAGTATGATTGGAAGCGCAATACCCAACTAGGCAATGATTTTGCAGTCGCTGTGTAGCGCGATGGCCTTCCTCCGATTGCGGGAGCCAGGAAATCAGAAAGCGAATGCGGCAGTGAGAGCACGCAGATGGGTGCAACGCTGGAGGGACCGCTTCTCGTATGATCCATGGTTGGGTTGCGAGTTGCCTCATGGCTGCGCAGATAGTGGCAAATCGCAGATTCTTGTCAGTAGCTTTATGGGGCCCACCAGAGGATGGTAAACAGTTTCGGTAGCGGGGAGAAATCGATAGCGCTGGCTGGAAGAGCAGACCTGGGGAAAGAAAAGGAGGGATTAGTTTGGCGGTTTGAGGCAATAGCCGTATTGGACAGCATCGCTGGAGTCTGACATCAGGGCCCCCTTATCGATCGACTTTTTTGCCCCATCTCCTCCTCTCCCCGCCCCGCAACCAATAGTTTCGGCAGTTCACTCGCATGGCATCGTTTCCGGTGTGGGGCCCAGAAGATGCGGGCCAAGCACGGGCGAAGCGGAGAGAGAGGTGGGATCATTGTGGTGGTGATGCATTCCTGCGATCTCGCCACTCTCGTCCAGCGCACACTCGTTGGTTGCAAGTTTTTATGGTCGATTCGTATGGTTGGATCCGACTCGATCACCTGAGAGGGGGGCCGGGCGTTAGGTTCGACCTCATCCTAATGCATCTGTCTAGCATTTGCTGGAACGAGCAATGCTCGTTGAGAGCGAGAGAGTGGGAGAGCGAATGAGCGGGCTTTCGGGGCGTGCTGCCTCTGAAGCTCCATGAAATTCATATTGTTTGAGTTCTGAAGGTGGGTTGTGAAGACGGTAGACGCGGAGGTCGAGGGGTTTCTTCTGCTTTCTTCCGATTCCAGAGGGATGGAAGAAATCTACTTATTATTGAGAGAGTGCACAACTGCATGGGTAGGAGGTGTAGTTTGGGGGCTGTGACTGCGATGCTTGTGAAATAAGAGGCGAGACAAGGGGTGGGCGGTTGTAGTATAGTTGAAAACGGCAGGAAGAGATTTGTGAGGGCTGATTAATTCAATTGCAGGTCTGTTGAGGAGGAAGGAGAGAGGGAGGGAGAGAGCGAGATAGGGAGAGAGAGGGAGGGAGCGAGCGAACGGAAGCGCACAGAAAGAGGGAACTGCGGTCCAAGGATGGCGCGCGCATTGGATCATAGTCATGACGATTCCGGAGCCTCCACAGCGGTCCAAGTTGCTGCAGGAGAGGCACACTCGCTTGCTCTTGCAGGTGCCGTTCTTTTCCTCTCAGCTTTCAGAAAATTCCGCCGCTTACACTGAACTATTTCGTTTTCGCGCCTCAATACACTACACCCTTGTACAAACTCTTGGAGGAGTTTTCCAAAGGTCAACAGGCTTTATCGCAGCTACGGGGAGCCGCGAGTCTGGTTTAGGATCATACATTGAACGTAGGAATGTTCACTTACAGTGTGAGGAAATAAGGTTTATTACGTTTATTCTGGAAGCGGAGTATCATTCTGTGCATCTAATTGGGTGGAAACTGTCGAACATCTAAGGGGTAAACTAGAAAGTTGTGAATTGGCACGATCAATCTTTCCACCCCCTTTTTTCATTGTGTACTCTTATAGAACTGTTCTTCACTAGTTCCGAGTCTGCTGGGTGCTTATTCAACATTTAATAAGTTTCCAGCAAACTCTTCACTCTGAGCTTTATCGCTTGAAACTTTATTAAGGCGTGTAATGCTATACCATATCCCCTAGCTATAATTTTTTGCAATTATAATTGTGGCGGTTGTCTCAACAACGCCCTAACCTTGGGGAGATATGGTGATGAAATACCAGTTGGTCAAGGTTTTTTCGGGTCTGTATATCGCCTAGAGCTCCCTACATTCGGCGGAAACTCGCGGCTACTGACCAAGAATCTTTTGTTTTAAAGATGGGTGTCTCACGTTTCATTTGCAAACTCATGCTTTGTGTCCAGCCAATGGCAGCGTCTACACATGGGGTCGAGGGCAGTTTGGCCGCATGGGCATGGGGGTTTTTCAAGACGAGCTTGAACCCACGCTCGTGGAGATAGGAATGATTGTGGACGAAGAAGACATTCCTCTGGCCAGAGACGACCGGGATTCGGCCGAAAGAACCAGAGTTACACAGATTGCAGCTGGAGCGTATCACAGTCTTGCTCTAGCAGGTAAATATTTTCCACCTGGGAGTTATTGCTTCAGTTTCACTGCTTGGCACGACCCATGTATAATTTTGTTCCTGTAGTCATCATTCTCTGAAAGCAAGCTCGATCATTTTGCGTCTGTCTAATCAACATCGTTACATGTGTACTGATCGTGCTCGAGGGGAATTGATTGCCGCAGGTGATGGGACGGTATGGTCATGGGGTTTCAATGCCTGTATCCTTCTCACTATCTCTTACTTCTCTTTCTGTTTGCGAAATCTATCGTTGGTCAAGAGTTTATTCACGGTCAGTTTTAACTTCACTGTCCCAAGAGCTGAATTATATAGAAACTCTACTGCATCAGATGTTCAAACACCATAAATCTAGGTCCCTTCATCTCTTGTATCCCAGTGCTACTCCTTAATGGAAACATGGACGGTCAGCTGGGTCGTCAAAGGGCCGCATCGTACCCTGCACCAGTTATCTTCCCCAGGCTTAGCAGCTCCTCTTCTGATGAAAACCGAGAAAATGCTGCATCCTGGAACCAGGGTGTCCGGGATCCGGGTGCTGGGCATCTTAAGGTAATTGCCTTGGTTTGGTTCTCGTAGTCTACTTTCTTCATAATCTTAGTCCGTTTTTCTGCAATGTGCTGAATGCTCTCCCCAGGAGTTGTTGACAATGTACAGATTGTTCAAGTGGAAGCTGGCGGTATGATGTCGAGTGCAATTGATCAAGATGGTGGCCTATGGGTTTGGGGGGCAGTACCCCAACCTGCGGTATTAGATCGAGTACCTGAATCTGATACATTCGAGATGTCAAACATCAACCAGCCAGAGCGCGTTTTGGCGCTTAGGGGACATTCTGTGCGTCGAATAGCCTGCGGAAGTGACCATATTCTAGCGCTTATAGATAGTCGCAATGGTGTTGATTGCTATGCTTGGGGAGGCAACGCATTCGGCCAACTTGGTCTCGGTGACTTCGAGCCGCGCGTCATTCCTACGAAGATCATGTCCTTATTAGCGCAGCAGGTGGGGGTTGTGGTAGACTTAGCTTGCGGGTACTATCACAGCGCTATTGTCACCGTGCAAGATGACGATCAGGGGCAGGACCCCGAGAGTTCCTCCATGGGAAGGAAAGTCCAGTCTTTACCGCAGCTGATGGAGCAAGCCATGGCGTCGCCGAAGATGCGAGAACGCGTACCAGCTGAACACTTCATGGAATCACTTGCCTCACCGTGGGTGCGGTCCAAGCAGGGCTATCCTTACGCACCTTCGAACAATGGTTCCCGAAATCATAGCTATTACAGTGTACATAGCGATACCAGCTCCCGGGCTTATTCGCAGAGCTCGATGTCGAGCCGGGCGGGGAATGGGGCCAGACCACAGGCTCCGAAGAGAGAGAGCGGAGCAGCTGGCGATGGCAGATTGTCCACTTGCTGGACATTTGGACAAAATGAGAATGGTCAATTAGGTGTAGGTTCTTGCACAAACTCACACACTCCAGTTGAAGTGGAAGCGTTGCCCACGCGTGAAAGAATACAGACCGTAGTTTGCGGATTGTTTCATACCGCAGTAGTCATGGAATCTGGAGATGTTTGGGTTTGGGGAATGGAGGGGGGCCTTGGGCAATGTCCAGGGATTGGACCCCCAGGGTCGAAGAGCGGCGATGCTCTTTCCCCAGTGCGAGTGTTTGGAGAATCGTCAGCTACGTGTGATCCAGTCACAGGCTCAAAAGGGATTGCGTGCGGCGCTGCGCACACTGTGACTGTGTCCAACGGAGGTAAGGACCTCTGGACCTGGGGTCGCGGTAAGAATGGAGTTCTTGGCCTAGGACATAACTCAGATAGCTGGTTTCCAAGTCCTGTGCTGTGGCCTCCGGGGTCACGACCCTCCAACGCTAAGGAATTGGACGCCGAAGGTATATACGATATTCGCAAATCTAGCCGCGCGTCAAGTAGGGGCGGCTCACGGGGTAGAGGTGATGAAATCAGGCCTTATGTACGGGAAGGGGACGACAGTAAGCCTCCGCGAAGCTATTCTTTCTCTAGATTACCTGTGGAGCAATATGTTCGTGAAGTTCAAGAAGTGGAGACTGACAGACCTCCTCGAGGTCTTTCAAGTAGCAGAAAAGCTGCTGAATCTCCAGGTCGACCGTCGGTCCGAGTTGAACGAGTAATAGAACCCCCGGGCCGACCATCACGAAGAGGAGATCAGGGAATGCAATCCCCAACACGATCTTCAAGAAGAGGAGACCATTTCTGGCCCCCAGTGCAGCCAGAGCCGGAGAATATTCGAAGCCTCAATAGAGACACAGGTATGCCAGTATGTGCAATCACAAATTCTGAATTCCTCAGGTTTTCGAACGTTGGCTACCTGGCCAGCAGTTGCTCTGTTATCTGAGCCATGGAGTGTCTAGCAGGAACAGAGCCGTCGGTCACAAGCATGAGAGCTTTCAAGTATCAGATCGGAGGCGACCCGCAGACTGAGGAGGACCTTAATGCCTTGAAACTTGAGTTGGCCGAGTGTCGTCGCTATGCTGAGAGGTTGCATGTGGCAGTTTACGGGGGGCAAGAGATGTTCACCCTTCAACTCCCAGGTAACAGTTCAAATAATTATGACTCCAGTGTCGAAGGCATGAAAGCAGACGGGTTGGGAACAAAGAGCTCTGCACTTCAGGATTGGCAGCAGCACGTCGAGGATGCATCTCTTGAAGAGTTGGTCAGTTGCTAAAGCCCTGTTTCTGCCCCACGTTTTTGAGTTTGCTGCTCGGAGCCATCTTGGCAAGTGTAAGAGTTTCTAGCCGATAGTTCTGGTCACGTGTTGCTGAAGGTTTGAAATTCAAATTTGTTCAGGTAAAGTTGGACCGATTTTACAAAGGCATGCGGAATCGGTTAAAAGATATTATGTTCCAAAGGAAGATGGAGGACTGGTGTCGTCGCGCCATGTCAGGCTTGCCCTCCTCCTATGCCGAGTCGCCTCCTGTCCGAGAGCCATACTCAGTGCAAAGCACGCCTTACTTCGACGGACCTGGAGAGATGGCCTTACGAATGTCAGGCATATTGAATGATCGAGGCGAGATGCTTCCTCCGGCTGCATTAGCCGCTTCCCTTGCAGAATTTCGAATGCACTCTCAGCGTCGGAAATAACAATTGCTCTCCCCTCACTTTGATCCTCAGGAAAGCAGAATTCAAGCTTAGATATGGTCAGCAGTTGCTCTGTTCCCTTTCCCGCGGAGTTTCTACACTTCATGAATCCAATCTGCAAGTCAGAATTGGGTCCAGCAATTTCTCTCTCTGGCAAACGCGGAAAGACTCCATCAATGTCACAAGGTTTGTCAGTGAGAAGATGCTGGCGATTGCTGGTTGAACGTTGCGGTCCATCACGTGATATCTGATAATGCAACTTTTCTTGCTTGCTAAGGCGGGATCTGCTGCCAGGACGAGCCTGACGACACGTGAAATCGTGTAGAGCCCGCTGCGGTCAATTGATCCATGTTGATCGACAACGCTTGCCATCGCAGTTAATGCTCAGCCATCGCCTGATTTACTGTTAAGTCGTAATACTGATTGCGAAGCGGTTCAATCTCTAACGTGCTTTTCAAGCATGGAGAATGCAGAGGCTGTCTTCAGTGATTTGACAGAGGCTCTTCTCCGGGCATCTTAATGCCGACATTACAAGTTTGATACTGTACGTGTATTACCTCAGTATTGCTGCCGACTCACGAAGCTTCTGGTCCCAGTTTCACGCATTTGTCATTAAGTAGGACAATTGTGAATTCTTCAAATGATATGAATTGTACTGTACTCCAAAGCAAAACATATTCATCGCTCGCACATGTATGCTACGAAAGGTTTGTAACTTATCTATGAAAACAACCCTATCATTTTCACGAACTTGTTCATTTTCGGATACGAATGGATTGTCTTGCAAAACCTTACCTACGACGGCAGTTTATATGGCCTTAAACTGCTGCGTCCAAACGAGGTCGGAACTCATATCCTCCCAGGAAAGTGTTGATGTGACTGACGGGGAAGCCTTCAACGAGCTGCCATTTTTTTGTGAGCAAATTGTATGTGACGAGCTTCGTATCGTTGCGAGCTAAGCATGTGGAGTAAATGTAACATCCCACGCCAACATGGTAGAAGGGACCTGCGATTGAGCACCATTGCCGGAACAAGGATGGGGGCATTCTGTCAACTTCTTCCCACTCCACGTCAGAGAACGGATCCACAGCCCCATTTCCTGAGGATGAAGCAAACCTTGGTTTCTGCCTCCACACATCAATGCTCTCCATCTGACCACCCTTCCAGGCACGTGTGACGAGGTGAGGTAGGCCATCGCAATCCACTAGCTTGGAGTCAAGGATTGGACCCAAGTTCCTTGCAAATACTTCAATCCACCGCTTCCGTGCTGTGTCAAATGCAATCATACGTCTGGTTGTTGACGTCCGGCATTGGACAGCGCCATCACAAATGGAGCTGCCTTGAATGAACCTGAGGTCAGTTGGAGTGTGCTCAACCGTCCCCCATGAATCGGTTGCCGATTCGTAAACCTCAGTGCAAAGCTCAATGCGCGCGCCGTTGTTACGGACTGTTGGCAGGGGCTGCAATTGCCCCACGCGAACAATTTTGTATGTGTTGTTCCTGGGGTTGGCTATCATCTTCACAAAGCACGTTGAGGCGTTGAGGTTCGGCATAGGAGGCAGGTCCCGCCATTTCTTGGTCAAGGGGTTGCATACAGAGAGCACAAGAAACGAGTTCACGACTCGTTGGCAACAGAACAATCCCCCCGCGCCCCCATGAATATAAGCATTTACGGGGATGGAATCGAGAGGAAGGCGCTGCCAACGGTTGTTGGTTGGATCATGGCACGCCGCCGTCAACACACCGTTCAACTTTATCAGGTGCAAGAAGAAAGCTGTCCGAAATGGTACCCGGGAGTATGTGTTGAGGAAGTTTGGGGAGGAGATGATGTGATTCCACTTCTTGCACACGCAGCGCATGCGGAAGAATGCAGAGAGAGGGAGCCATGCCAGGACCAAATCCATCACCTCTTCCGGCAGCCTGCTCCATATGTTCTCGATTAGGTCCTTTGCAGGGGCCTCATTCACCTTCAGGAGCGCCTTCCCCCGGAGGACTATCTGTTGTATGCTTGCCCTGGCTGGAGGAGCAAGCATTGTTAGCGAGGTTATTGTGTTTTCTGAATTGGTTTCATGCAGCGCAGCAGCTGCATCTGTTGAATCCACTATGACACGGTGAGAAAATGAACTGCACAGAATTCAATAGTTTTGAGCAACTTCGATGTTTCCAATTTAGAGCTGGGTGCACATTTCAGTGAAGTAGGATCAGTCACCTGTGTCCCTTGCTCGTTCGGAAGTTTCTTTTTGTCGATGCTCATCACTTTTTGAATGTTCTCTCATTTCATCATCATGGCCTTCAATGGTTGAGTGCTCTGCTGCCTCTAAACGCCCATTCCACGACCAGCAACGACTCAAGGTTAGTCAAAATGCCGCATGAATTAATCTCGCGATCGAACTCGTGTACAATTCAACACTGGATTACGTAAAATGAATCATGTACCATCTCCAAGAGAGAGACTTTTCATAGACTCTGCTGCTGTAAACCTTTCCGTCTCATATTTTGGGTCCATTGTAACATCCGCCTTGTCTGATCCTCAAAGACAAGTTCACACCCGGCTCCAGAAGACTAATGCTGAACGAATCCATATTCTTCATTGCAGCTCAACCTTGCCAAACCTTCTTGGAAAACAAATTCTATACATGGCGGCATCTGAAATCGGCCTTTCACGATGTTCCAAGATGCAATAACCTTGCTGTACATTCTGTCGGTCTGTGTAATTGCCTTGCCTGTCACTGCACTTGCTCACAAACTTGTTCAACCAGCTAACGGCCTTACAAATTCCATTTGAGTCCAGACCTGCACAAGTCATGTAAACCTTGTCGGATTGGGGTTTTGGTTTCGCAAGTAGCGAGAATTTGCGTAAATCGTGAAGCTCCATCGATACACATCCAATTCTAGGGCTTGCACTGTCTTTACCAAAACTTGGTTTCAATTTCCTCTTACACTATCCAATCTCTTGCTGTGAGTCTCCTAAGAGAAGCAACACAAGACAACCAACATGCATGCCGATGGCAAGTTCAATCACGTCACCGACGATGAATCAGAGTGCACGGAGGGGAAAAACCTGCAGCGGATGTATTGATGAGCCTTTTTGGAGGATCCTCTACGAACGACAATGTCAACAGAAGCACGACCTTTCGGCCATTCACTCAATTTGCAAGACTGAATTGCACAGGACCTATCAGGCTCCAACATCAGCATTCTCGCCTAAAGTGCAATGAGTCCAGCGTCTCCTCTAACGGAAGACCAATCGAGAAAGCCACGGATTCAAATAGGCTCTAAAACCAATTTGCAATCGAGCTCTCTATTGAGCGTAATTCATCCTGCAAGGATTAAAAATTACTGTGAAATCTCTGAAACAGCAAAACGAAGGGTTTATGAGGCTGATGAAGAGCCTTCACCTCATAACTCCCGGGCTTCCTGGAGTCACAAACGGTACCAAGTCGGTTCAGAATGGTTCAGTACCGAACTGGTGGTTTACATGCCACAACATCTGTCTGTAACAACACAAGCTTCCATTCCCTTTATCACCACCACGGAGCTTTGAATTGCTTCGCATCATGCAGTGTCTTCATGAGCCAACCCTTCGGGTTTTGCTTCATACTCACAGATTCTACGTGTTGGTTGGAGCGAGACGTTCAAATGAGTTCGCATGCGTTCAAATGCGTTCACATTCGTTCACATTAGTTCAAACGCATTCACAAGAGTTCACATGAGTTCATATGAGTTTACATTCGTTCACATGCGTTCACAAGAGTTCGTGCGTGTTCACTTGAGTTCATATGCATTCCCAGTCTCACACACACATAATCTGTATGATTGTTAATCTTGTTTTTTTACTTATTTAACGAAAAGAAAATATTAATTCCTATTGTATACTTCATTTAATATAGATAAAAAAATACATGTACAAAATGATAAATACACATGACAAAATATGTTTAAATAGTTAAGTAGGTGACAAGTAGGTTGGTTTTTTTGGTTAAAAAATATGGTTATTCTGAAAGGTGTTTTATTACTTGGTAAGATAATCTTGTGAGGATTGGTTTGTGTAACATTAAAGAGAGAGATTTATTTTATTTTATTTTATTTCTAAATTTAGAACATGATTAGGGTATTTTTTAATACTTTTATTTTTATTCATTTCAATAGACCATTTCTGCAAAGGATATTCTATTTTCTCTTTCAGTTAATTGTATAATTTTGTATTTTTATTGCATAGTTTTGGCAGTGTTTGTTGTCACTATATTTACAAAAGGAATGTAGGTAAAATTATCCAAAATAATTTTAATAATAATCAGATTAAAATAAGGTAGTGATGATACTTATTCTTGAATAATTTATTTTTTAATTTTTTTTAAACTCTATTATTTTTATTTATTTATTTTTACATGAAAAGAAAATTGATATAGCATCCTACTTTGAAAAAAAAATTTATTCTTTCTATGCTCATTTCTCTCAATTATTTTCTTGATTTTTCTCTTTTCATTGTGCTACCTATATTTGCAAGAAAGAATATGAAATAATTGCCTAAAAACATTTAGGACCCACAAACAAAACTTTAACAAAAAAATCTTCAACAAAATCTTTTATTCCAACAAAATTCATTTTAAAATACATTCAATATAATTGAAGATTGAAAATGATAATAATAGAAAAAATAATATATAATATTCATATTTCTTTCTAAAAATACTAACACACATTCTCTCTGTCTATCTATTTCTTTTTACTGTATTGCAAAGTGTATTACAAATTGATATGTTTAGTTGGAGCACTCCAAAGGGAAACAAATAGTGAAAGTATCAAAATTGAGGGTCCAAACAAGCACTCCAAAGTGGGCATATAAAAAAATATTGCAAGACAAGCATTGTATTGTATTGCAAGCAAAACAACACAATGTCGAAACTAAGGTAGCCGACCCATTGTTGACCACCCCCCACATTTCCAACATATGGGCCCACTTAATTCTATTAGTCTGGGGACTAGATTGGACATTTTATTGATTTGAAATTGGTCAAGGGCTAGTTAAAATGATGTTAAGTTGTGAGCAATAAATAAAATTCATCGTACTTGAAATGGATATGCATGAATTATAAATAGGTGACAATTGTTGATTGGTTGGGGTCAAATAATAGTATAATTAGGTGCCACACTTATCTTGACAGCATTAATAGTTGCCACACATCAGGGTTTTGTAAAAGTTTGATTATTGGTTTTGTAATCCACCACCGGTCAAAATTAGGTAGACCTATATGTCCAAAATGGGGCGAAGAGAATCTTCAGCTGAAACATTTATACAAATTCCGTTTTTAGGCCAAATTGTGTGAAAACATTTTTTCATTTGTTGAAAAATACGTTGAAATGCTCAAGTTATAAGAAATGGGTTGTCTACCTTGTTCAGTGCTGTGCACATCTGTCCACAGCTTCGATGCTTGTGAAACAAGAAGAGAGTATGGATTTGCAGTTGGCACCAGGTGTGTGCTGGAGGAATGACTTCATAGTCGCAGGATCTAGATGCTCGGATACGCTGTGATCTCGACAGCTTCGATCCTTCGCTGTCGTACCCTTTTCTAGACAGAGAGCATGTCGTGAATCTCTTGTGTGGTGAGTCCGGTCAAAGCGATGAAGCTTTCTGAGGAGCTGACACTGGTGCTCATGCCGCAACCAACTACTGACATGGTTGAGTGCTGCAGAGGCTCCAGGTCCACTTGATGTGCTAAGATCTTTGGAGTGTCTGGACTGGCAGGAGGTGGGCTGGGTATTATACCAGACCCGCCCTACACTGTATCCTCAATGTTGAAGTTGGGTGCAGTCACGGACTTGGTTTGGAGTTGCATATGCCAACCTATGAGGTGTGGTGCATATGGAGAAATGAAGAGAGAATCTCCTCCTGCTCTCGAAGCAGTGTCATTTTTTGCGGAGATGTAGGCGGTTTGTTTCTGGCGCTCTTTTCTCAACCAAAGTTCATATTTCTCAAATACCCTATGGTTCATCTATTCTTTCCGTTAACTTTTTGTTCTTGTCTTGAATCTATTTTAGATCACTACCATCTTAGCAGAAATTATCATACTGCTACGAAGACTGGATGTTATCTATAGAAGCAATGTGTCCACGTTCAGAGCTTATTCGAGCCATCGGCACTGAATTCCTTGAAACTACTTGATAGCCCCAAGAAAAGTGTTCAATGTTTCCTTACCTCTTCCCTATTGCGCATTCACAAGCAGTGATCTTTCGGTAATGACATTTTGAGGATTTCGGTGCAATATCGCCTTCATTGAAACCCGCGTTCTATATTTGGCAGATCAAGGACGAGTCCACGTTCTCGTCCTTATCAGTGAGAGAAGCATCGGCATTTTGTATCAAGATACAAATTATTCCAGGGAGATTCTCCAGAGTGAAAGTAGTGAGCATTACTTGAGAGATGTAAGTTGAGTTTTCGCCTGAACCAAAGAAACATGAAGGTGAACTTTCTATTCAGCCCCAATTGCAATGCTATTAAGGAAACGAAAACTAGAAGTAACCTCTGCATGCAAATGGGCACAATGAAAAACTGAAACAACCCAGCTCTAGTTGCAATGCTGAATGCCGCAGTATAACACAAACATCTCCTGTACCATGCGAACAAAGACTTACAAGTGGAAGTATGCAACAAATATGAGCTGTAACCTGCCACTGAGGATCTACTATGATTAGACGATAAGTTCATGGCGCTTGTCAACACTGACTTTTGAACTCTTTAATCAAACTTTCTACAAGAACGACATGAGTTCATTTAATTTTAATAAGTAATTGAAAGGTTGACAATTAGATCAATAAGTTGGTCACATATTGTACATAATGCACATTTAGTCCCTTACAATATAGATTGGTCATATTGAACACAAGTCAAAAACTTGTTTTTAAAGTTAAGTATGTATTATATGATCTATTGTTATGAATATATATATATATATATAGAATTAAATAAAAATAAATAGAAATAAATAAATTTAATAATATCTTATAGAAGAGCTTTTTAGAAGCTTTAAAGACATGGATTTGACTTTATATATTTTTATAGGTGATTGATAGGTTGAAAACTTAGCCAACATGTTGTACATGTTGGTGACTTGTGGTACAAATTAGCCATATGGTGCATACATAAGAAACTTATCTTGCAAGTTAGACATGTATTGAAGGTACTATAAAACATTGGCACGTAGCTCCTATTTAGATAGTATATATAGAAGAAAGAGTGAGGCCTTTCTTACTTATGCCAATGCCTTTCTTATGCTTAGTCTTGTTTAAAGATTCTCTACTCTTCTTGTCTTTGACAAAAGCCATTCTAATTTTAATATTATATCATTTTTGAATAATTATCTATTCTTTTTTAGTAAAATAAGAATGTATTGATCTTTTGGTTCTTTATGATTCATGTCCTTTACACCTATAAGACATGACCACATAATTTTTTATAAAATAATATGTATGGAGACAAAAATGAGGTATTTTTTATTCTTTTTAATGCTTATATTAAATTCTATCTTGATTTTATGTATGTAAAAGAAATCAACAATAAGGTCCATTTTATATACTAAAAAGTTATCTAATTGAAATAAGCAAGTAGATCAGCTTCACAAGTGAATCCGAAAATTTTTACTATTACAAATATGAAGGAGGTATCACAAACATCAATATTAATATTGATAATTAAGATAATAAGAAGAATTAGATAGAAGTATGTAAAAGTAAATTAATTTGATAATATCTTAGTGAGTAGCTTCTTAGAAGCTTTACAAATGTAAATTTGATTTTATAAGTATTTGAAAGTGATTAGTAAGTTGAAAACTTGGGTACTAAGTTTGCCACATGTTGCATATGTTGACTACTTGTAGTACAATTTGGTTACATAGAATACATCTCAGAAATTTATTTTGCAAGTTAGACACATATTGAATGACCTGTAAAAAATTGCTACATAGTTTTTTTAATTCAATTGTATATATGGAAATAAGAGTGAAGCCTTTTTACTTCTATCAAAGACTTTTTTTCTTTTAATTTAGTTTTAAGGATCTTTGATCTTGTTGTCTTTGAAAATAGCCATTTTAGTTTTTTTTCAATCTAAAATATTTTTAATTTTTTTTAATTGTCTCTCTATGATATATATTTTAGTTTATTTAAAAAAAAATTTAAGTTCTTATCTTTGAAAAGGATCTAAGATTACCATGCTAAAGAAGTTTAATAGAATAAGATAAAAAATTTGAAGTTTTTTTACAATAAATGAAGCTCTATTTTAGATTACATATTTTTTAAGAGCATGAAAAATTTAATTAAGTTGAATTTATAAGTACACTTCTATTTGAAAGTATTTTTTTTGGTTTTAATTTTTAATAGAAAAAAATTTAAAACTCCTACATGATCTATAATATTCAAAGATAGATTAAAAAATAATAATTTAAAATAAAATTCTTGTTTTTGGGATGAGAATCAAAATAATCTACTATATATGATGGAAAACATCAAATCCTTACTTATGACTTCGATTAGAATGATAAAACCCTTATTTATCATTTTTGATATAGATTAAAAGATAATATCAAAGATT